TATTGTTATCACGCTTTATAGGAAGCTCAGGTGGTTTACCCCAACTGTGAAATGTTATTTCAAAATGGCAGTGGAAGAAGGATGACAAAGAGTCTGAGTCAAATTCTTCCCTTGCCTTCATGCATAAATGTCCAGGAAAGCCTGTAAAAGGGCAGTGTATATGTTTAGAGATAAAAATCTTGCTTTGTATCTTAAAATGAAGTTGTCTTCAGCCCAATGATTTAATTCATGGTTTTCTCATTATGTTCATATTATATGTGATCTTTATTGGAAATCATAAGCTAGGCCAGAGCTTTCAACACTTCGTGGACTGTAACCATTAAATCGCTCATTTAAATCATGTATTGTACACAATATGGTTATACTTAACACTTGGTCATGGTTTTTTGCCTCAAGCCAAAATTCATTAAAATAGTCTTTCTTCTAAATGACCCAAGACATTACCTTTTTTTTTTTAACAATGGATTTCAGAACTTGCTATTTACTTTCAAATCTCTTTTAGAAGTGAAACAAAAGGTAGAATTCCTAAGTCAGTGATGCTCTTTCAAGGGTAGAAAACCTCGCTTTGCTTTGGGTAGTAGAGGCAACTGTGACTATTATTTTATGGCAGAATAGGGGATAGCAGTAAATAGTTACATGGTATTTTTCTAAATGTTCAGATTTCTCAAAATAACTAAATGAAAAAAGCTAAGGACTAACTCACATCATTTCCAAATATGTTTTTGAAATAAAACATGCAAAATTACTAAATGCTACTCTATTATTGTTTTTTTTAGGAAAGGCCACTGTAACATGTTAATATATGTGTTATATATATATATAATATATGTATATTATATATATATATATAATCACATACACATAGTTATCAATAAAAGAATAGATAGTTATACATACATGCATACATTCTCAGAGACTTTCTATCAATTGGCAGAGTATGTAAAGAAAAGTCTGTTTCCCAATACTACACATGATAACTTCTCAGAATGTCAGGAAATAGGAGTATTGCTTTTCTCATGTGTCTTCAATCAAGCCATTTTGAGAATGTAAAAAAAAAAAAAAAAAAAAAAAACCCTCACATTTGTTGGATAAATGACTGAAGGAAAGTAGAACATAAAAGACTTTTGGAAAGAGAATTATATTTGCTGTGGTTCATCCTCTCTAGGGTTGGACCAGTTCATTTATAAGGCTGTCAATCAAGAGCTTTCAGGCCCAGCGCTACTGAAGCTAAGTGGAGTGTGGTTGCTGTTCTGTTCTTGGTCAGTTCTTGGTACGATGCCATAAACATTTGTCTTTACCTTTCTAGTAATCACCTAAAGTCAAAGTTGGTGTCTTAGCATCATTTCCTGTATTCATTTTATTTTGCCCTTGGTTATTTCAGAGAAAAATTTCATATTTGAAAAGCATCTTAAAAACCACAGAGTCATCTGAATTTTTCTCTTCAAGCCACTTACTTTCACTAAGCTTACGATGTAGCCAAGTTCAATTCTCACTACCCCACAATCTTATCGAGCATTCCAGTCTCCTGACGGCTTTTTCAGTAGTGTTCTTTTTCCATCTAAAACTGTCTCTGATATTTCCTAAAGGGTTCCACAATGTCACAATGGATTTGTTATTTTGCCTTTAAGAAAGGAAAAAGAGGTAGTAAAAAGAATTCGATTTACTTTATAAAGAGCTAAGTACAATGTTGCTGTTTACTAGTGTACAGGAGCCCTTGTCAAATGAGAAGTAGTGGTTGGTCTTCTGTAGGATCAGTCCATACAGATCAAATGCCAGTGATACAAACATTTTAGCAGTCCCAAACTCTGGAAGATTCCCTGAGAGTTACCAGATGCCTCACCATACCTGTTTATAGACATCTATCTCTTTCAACCTTGGAGCTACTTTGCCTGATAGTAGCCAATGATATATAACAACAATACAGTGTTATTGAGTATATGTCAATTTTCATGAAAATGCTCATTTGGTCATCACTCTTATTCTTTAACTAGAGCAGGGATAGGCCTGCCTCTGCCTCCTGAGTGCTGGGACTAAAGGCACGTGCAACCTCTGCCCGGCCCTGACTTAATGCTTTTAAAACTCTCATCACATTGTTACCCTTTGAAAATTTTCAATTACCAATTAGCCACAGTTTGTTTGCTGGAGCAGCAGGTGTTTCTGTGTTAAGCCAGAAAAACCACACAGCATCCAACAACCTGTTTAAAGAACGACAGGGTTATTTGTCTGGAATGTTGCTGATGATTTTAATAGTCTACTTTCAGGATGCAGGAAATCCTTTTTTTGTTTCTCCTAAGCTGTCTCTATCTCATAATAATTCAGAAGCATATGCTTTGTAAATAGAAATGAAATCTTTACAAATGGCACCTTTCCCTTCCTGTCTCACTGTTGTAAAACTTAGAAACCTTTATTGAAAACCCTTATTTTCATCACAATATATTATTTGCATAGCCTCAATAGCACCATCTTCCTCTCTGCCTGGGATATTGGAAGCAGTAGGCATGGTATATTTCTTGAATCAGTTATGACTAGACACTTTAAGCAAATAGGGTTGACTGGGTCAAGCCCGTGACAAAGAGCCAATGCGTAAAGAACATTCTTGAGCAATTAGCCAGATCCCTGATTTATAGGCCATTCATACAGATAAATAATGAAAATTACTTCCTGGCATGTCCAGGTGGAAGAAAACATTCAAACAAAAAGATTTTTATGGAACAATACAGTATTTTGAGAAACCTCCAGAAGAGAGGGGTCACCTAAATCTATAATATGCGACAGTGAAATCAGTTGGTGAGCTCTCAATTAAGATTCCTATATATACAATCACAAATTCTCTATAGAAACATTCAGCAAAGCAAACCAAACAGCCCCATACAGTAAATCATCATTCTTGCTGGGACTATGCCAATATGGAAGCCAAATATTTTTATATCACCATTAATTTGTGATGTAGAGTAAACCTATCTTTGTCCTTATATTTGAGCAAAAGAGGGGTGCCTATAGAAATTTTTTCATTCCCATGGAATACAGCACATCCCATTGATTAAATTATAGACATGTTCATTGTTTATTTTAGATATTTAATACCATGTTATGTATATTCAATTTCTACTTTATTTTGGAGAGATTTAAATATTGTAATCATCTCTGACTAAACAAGCTTGAAAACCTACATTTAATTAGATTGGAATCGTTACCAAATTGTGAAATTTCCGGTTTCTTCGATATTTAGCATCTCCATGGTAATGACCCTCCCTTCTTTCCCCCTTTTTCCCAGACTTGCTGTTAACAAAAACTAACATCCAGCAGTCTAGATTCCTACAGGGCTTCCCACTCTACAGGTTGTGTCCCCCAGGTTCTAAATATTTCTTGAAAAACCTCAGTCTTACTCCCTGTTTTGAATGCCGGAGGACCCACCGCGAACAGGACAGATTTATGCCCTGACAAACCATGGTCTGGGCACAAGCGGAATTTCATGAAAAGCCCAGATCATTCATTTTGCTAGGTGACCTTTTACCAGAAAGAAACGACATATCCAAGCCCACTGATACCCTAGCTTCAAGGAACCTAGACGCATTGCACTCACCTTCCCCATGCCCACCTTTATCTTTTAAAAATGCCTCTTAATTTTTATGTATTTACTTACTTAATTATTTACTTAGAAGCAGGGTCTTGTATTTAGCCCCGGGTGACCTTGAGCTCAGGAGACTCTTGCTTTGCCTACCAAAATGTTGGGATTACAGTCATGTCCCACCACACCAGGTCAATCTCTTTCTCTCTTTTAGGGACCCTGTTCGCGAGAACTTTAGCTGGTCCTTGCCACAACTTCTCAACAGATGGCTCTCGTGATTTTACAGGAATTTCTGAGAAACTATTTCTTAGAACAGTTTAGCCTCGCTGAAGAGGTTCCCGATAGTCAGCTCTGACATGTCATTCTTATTCGGACAATAGGAAACTGAAAACCTTGGACATCTCCTAAAAATCTCCTGAATATCTATAGGATCCTGATTCTTTTCTTTAGACAGTCCTCATTAGCTACAATATTTTAAGTAAAACATCTTCTGAACTGACTGGCACATACCGCCTTTGATGGCATCATATCATTTCTTTACTTATTTTTTTGTGTGTGCTCATTACCTAGAAATAACTGTCTTAGACAAATTCTGACTAGTTTTGATTTATGCCATGACTCAATATTTAAATTTTGAGCTAGTAACTTTCTAGAAATAAGTTAACATAGACTACCTTTCAGCTTCAAAGCTCCAAAAGAATGATCTAAAAAGGATTTCCCTTAGAAGATCCTGTTCAGTGGACTAAAAATCAGCAATTGTACGTTTTATTATAAGTGTTATGTACTGTTTAAGGAATCGGCCATGCAAGAAGCAAAATAGCAACATGCCTGTTGCATATGAAGGTAACATAAACTTGACTGCTGAGCACTGTCAATGAGATGCATACATTGTTAAAAAATGTGTAGTGGAAGCAAAGGCAGTTTATTGCCTGCCTTAATTCACTTTGTTATAACAAACTGTCACTTACTGGGGTATATTCAGCAACAATGTTTATTACTCACAGTTCTATGGTTTGAGAAGCTCAAAGGCCAAGACTGGACTTCTCGCTTTAAAGACAGCTATTTCCTGCTATTAATATATCCTCTCACAGTACAAGAAGAAAGATCTGTTTTACTTCTCATGAGCTCATTAACCCTGTCATAATCCTATGGGTTCCACTCTCAGGTCATCATCCAAACTTAATAACCCCACCTCACTAACTAATTGATCCAATATCCAAATACTATTACTGTGGACACCAGGATTTCAAGGTATGGATTTGAGAAACAACTCTTTTCTTTCGGTAATGGGGCTTGAACTCAGGGCATTGCACCTGTCAGACAAGCCCTCTAACAACTGTGTTGTATCCCCAGTCCATACAGATGAACTCTTGGATGAGACAGTCCCTGCTATTGTCTTTGAAATCAGTTTCAGTTTTTTAAAATTGTGTTTCCTGTTCCTAGAGGCATTGCAGATGTGGCTGCTGTGTCAAAAGTGTGTCAGTAGGTGGCAGAGAGGAGAGAGCCTATCTACACTCAGCTCAATGTTCTGAATAATGAACATCTGAATGAGTGTTAGCCTAACTCTCCCCTCTGCCTTCCCCCCCACCCCAAAGTGATTCTGAGACCATCACCAATCCAGCATTGCTCCTAGGATGGAAAGCAAGCCATAGACTAGAATCCCACCTAGCACTTTGGGCCATGGGCGAAAGTGAGCTGAAGACAGACAACGCTGGCAAGGGACTGCTTGGGCAGACCAGGCAAGTTTTAAACCTGAGAGGATGACCACCAGACTGGTGCCATGGGGCCCAGATAGGGAGCTAGCCTGAGATGAACATAAGCCTGGCACCACAAAGACCTGGGAGTATGGTAAGGGGCAGATCATGCTCAAGATTACCTCTGCCAGTCTCATGGTGAGCATGCATCACACTCTTGAGACCACTCCTAAGATGATCCTGGATACTTGGAGACCCTGGGAACTACTGAGAAAAGCAAGTAGGTGGTAAAGAAATGGAAGAGAAATGGGCATAACGAAGAAAGCAGAACAGGAGACTCCTAGGTAGGAAGAAACTTCCTGTTGTGAGTAGGCAGTGATGCCACCTGAGACCGTGCTGGGGTCCTGGCCCTGCAGCATCAGGGGTCTGTTACTATGAAGGCCAGATGAGCATCTCAGGTCAGGGGTGCCACTGGGGACATGTTGATATCTGAGAAGCTGTATAGAACTAACCCTACCCCTTACCTGGGAATCTTGGCAAAGCTAGTCCTTGAGGCATGATAGCAGGAGAGCTAACCCTGCCCTTCTGCCCCTGAGCTGCAGTACTAGGGAGAGTGGGCCCCCACACATTGTGGGAGTTGCAGCTAAGCTGGCCCCAAGGATGTGAGTGTAGGATATTTGGCCCTATCACTCATCTCCCTGTAATGGCATGGACAAGGGAGAGATACCCTTCTCCCCACACTCTCCTCACTACCTGCGACAGGTGGGAAACCTGGGTCATGAGAGCCGGAGAGCTGTCCTGCCCTTCACATGTTCCAATACTCTGGAGAGGAGGCTCTGCACCTCACCTTGGCAGCAGGATAGAATTGCCCTGGTTGTTTCGGGTAAGTCTGCCCAGAAGGTGTGAGAACAGGAGAATTGGTGGGTTGGCCATCTCAGATACCTCTCAGGCTCAGATCCAAGGCTTTGAACTCGGCCACCCCAACATCTACCCCATCAATGAACTGCTGGAGTGCATGAAGGGCAGGTCCTAAAGATCCAAAACTACAGGATCTCCATGACGCAGGGCAACAACAGGATATCTGAGAGGAGTCCCAGTGGGGTTACAGTATTGATAGAGTAGCAGAACCCAAAGGCCTTGTATCAGACCAAATGAACATATGAACATTTGAAAGAAAAGAAGTGTGTACAAAAGTATAGGACACACTGTGACACACTACAGCTTCTACAATGAGATTTTGTTTTCTGTTTTAGGGAAGGTTGCAAGGGGAGAGGGTGGGAATGAAGGAAGGGGAAGATGAATGTAGTTGGGGTGCATGGTGTGAAATTAACAAAGAACCAATAAAAAGGTTTAAAAAATGATATGTTTGATTATTTGCCAGTCTTTCAGAATGTGACTTAACTTGGAGACAGGGTCTAGTTTCAGGGTCTTTTTCAAGACAAGGTTTCATTATATATCTCTGGCTGTTCTACAACTCACTTTGTAGACCATGTTGGCCTTGAATTCAGAGATCCACCTGCCTCTGCCTCCTGACTGTTGTGATTAAAGGCACACACCACTACTCCCAGCCTGGAGACAAGGTCTTTACAAAATTAATCAACTTAAGTGAGTTCTTTAGAATAAATCCATATTCAGCAAGACTTGGTGTCTCTCTAAACATTGGAAATCTGGATGCAAAGATCCATATAGATAGAAGAAAGTTGATATAACGATAAATAAGAAAACCAACTGCCAGCCAACAAAAAAGACATAGAACAGTTCTCTCCGCAGAAGAGAGGAACCCTAGAATACGTCAAAGAAAGTCCTGTTATTTTAACTACCCGACATATTCCACTTTGTTACCTAGTCCTCACTAACTGTGGCATTGAGTCACCTTGAACAAGACGCTAGACTTGAACTTTTAGTTTTTTCATCTCTTAGATGATATTGTTTCTTTAGCCAGAGCCTGCAACGTGTAACTCTTCTATAGAATGACAGTTAATGGTAATACTATTTGACTTCTAGTTTCAAGAACATCTGCTAAAGTGTAATCAACAAACATGATTGCTGAAGTCTTCATCATTGCCACCTTCCATCATTTTACAAGCATTTGTTTGAGAACTTCCGTGGAAGGCACCATGCTGATTGGTTCAGGCGTGCCTGTATCGATACTCTTGACAATTTCCGTAATGTAGGCATTAGTCTTCTCTCTTTATAGAGGAACTGTTTCTTGTTTTAGTTGCCTTGAACAAATTTAAAAATCATAGTAAATATCAAAACTAAATGGAAATATAAGTGGGGCTTTGACTGTATAAGATGAGCCACTTGTCCTCACACTGTTCTGTCTAGGACAACATTTCTATCTTAGAACTCACTGAAGAATTATAACTGTGAACCCAATGTGACATCTTACATCTATCTCCTTACTAGAGGGTTTTTAATTTTAGTTTCTTTTAGGACTCAACCTAATTTTGAGGAGTTAACTTCTTTTCTTAGTATACTTGTGGAATAAGTAGAGGAATAGGCATTACCACCTCTGCCCTTTCTCCCTTTTAACTAATCATTGTTATCCAGAGGTTGTGGAATTTGGCATGCTTTCTGTTAATTTTTTCTAATTGTTGCGCCATTTTTTTCAGATTAGAATTTTTGAATAGATAGTTTTTGCATGTCGGTTGGTCCATTTCCTTCTTTGCTCTTGCCTATCAATTGTACAGTCCATTTAGGTGCTCATGTGTTGTGATGATGGACTTTTTCAGGGTTGTATTTCCTGACAGTGGATGGATGTGCAACCAGAGACTTTGTAAATCAACTCTGTAACACACTCTTGAGCCCACACAAATGAAGATCCAAAAATAACATTTTGTCGGCCAACATACTAAGGTGGAAGAAGACATTCAAACAAAAAGATTTTTATGTAACAATACAGAGATTCTCATGTACTGTATACATCATGGCATTGTATTTTGAAACTTTTGCTACAGTTTAACTCAATGCTGTCAGATGTGATTGACAATGGCCTTCAAAGTACTGCCCAAACAACATGGGCATCTCATAAGGCCAGTGGGAGGGACAAATGTTTTGTCTCTACCTCTTACCTACTGAATGGGACAATCTGACCAGAGTAAAGAAATCTGTGATGGGGTAGCCATCTAGTGGGCCTGGAGGATGCTGAGAATCAAGAACAATGGCATCATAGAACTATTCAGAAGTTCGTGCTTCATTCATGAATGTTGCTGTAAAAGAACCAGAACCACATACTCTCCTCAAGTCTCCAGACTCTTTGGCAGCTTCTCTTTTAATATCTGACAGCTTTTGCAGAGGCAGGAAAGAGTGGTCAGCACATTTTAGGATCCTATCTCTAAATAACAGGCAAAATCACAAATTAAAATCACAATCAGGGAGGATTGTAATTCTTTAGAAAAATGGCTTTATCATGAAGTAACTATGTGTTCTTAGGAAGTTGAAGAACAAAGAAATATCGGGTGGCTTTGTGTTCTCCTCATTCAGTTTCACTTAATAGAGATATCCAGTCAAACCACATCTCCATAGCAAACCAGAAAGTTGGCACCAACATAGTCTAGAAACTTATTCAGAGTGCATTTGTTTCCATGTACTTTTTTTTTTTTTCTGTTTCTGGGACTTTAACTCTGTGTAACTTTATTCCAGGTACAGGACCATGTGACCACAACCAATAAAGAAACAGGACAATTCCATCACAAAGGTCCCTTCAGATGCCTTTACACAGACACACACACACACCTTCCTCTTCTCTGTTGTCCCTCATAACTCCTAATCTTTTCTTCATTTCTGTATTTTTACTATTTCAAGAAAATTATGTAAATGGAAGCATATGGCGTGTATCATTTTGTGATTTCTTTCTTTTTTCAATTAGCATAATGCCTGAAATGTACAAGTCATTTACTGTATAAATGGTTCATCATTTTTATTGATGAATAGAGTTCCATGGCATTCTTATATATGCCATAATTTGTTTTACCAGTCACTTGTGGAAGGATCTTTATTTTCATATCTTTGTTGTGATGAGGAAAATACCTATAAACTTTCATTTCTCTGGATAAATGTTCAAGAGTTCAAATTGGTGGATGATATGCTACGTCTAGGTTCAACTTTGTAAGAAATAAGCAAATTGTAGCAGTGAACTAATTTACATTTCCATTAGGACTATATCTGTGACTGAGATTATTCATTTTCTTTTCAGCATTTATAGTGGCTACAGCTTCAAAAATACAAATATATAAAAATAAGAATAATTTCCCTTCTACATCTCTATGAATTGCCACTAGATCCTCCATAAGAGACAGGGTCCAGTGAGCACTGTCCCTAGCTATCTTGGTTTCTGGCTGGCTAGATCTTGTGTAGGTATTGTGTAGACACCTACAGCTGCTGATGGGTCCTCAGCCCTGCCAAGTCCAGAAGTTTGTATTTCCCAGCACTTCTTGCTCTGCTGCTGTTATTTTGCTCAATGCTCATGCTGTCAAATTTCCTTCTAAACATTCCTGATTCTCTACATAGACCTGGCTGCTCCCGAACCTGGTCAGAGAACCATGTTTTAGTATCAGAGATTTTTACTGTAGCTTCAGCCATAATCGACATACAGACACATGTCATCACCATTTTCATTTTTGTATCTCTGATGGCAAATGGTATTGAATATCATTTCATATGCCTTTAACCCATCTAAATGATCTCCTATGTAAACTGTATGTTCATGTTTTTGCCAACTTGGATTGTTTTATTTTTTTTCCCTGCTGAGTATTGAGAGTTCTTCTATTTTCTAAATAGAAAATGCCTGCCAAATTTGTCATTTGAAAATATTTTCTCCATGTCTATACTATCCCTTCCTATTCTTTATAGTTTCCCCTCTCAGAACAAA